TGTGGCAAGAGAAATGGATGTCTGGCAATTCATGTCTTGATGGATTCCAAACCCTTTTGTGCTTGCCTATTTTGGCCCTGTTTTCTTTCTTCCGGAATCTTTTCTTCAAATACATAGTGACTGAAGTCTTCGGGAATGCATCCCTTGTCTTTTGAAAATAGCCTATTTATGCAAATCTTGACTGGATAGTCAATTTTCAAACCTACCCAAGTTAAATCTTTGCCTCCTTAGGATAGCCTCTAGTGGATTAAGCTGTAGCAAGATCTTCCAGAAATCGTTGTCTGCTGATCACTGTGTCAGCATTCTCTTTGGAATTCCTTTCTCCTTGCTGGCAACAGTGCATCTTTGGAAGAGGACACTTTAAACGCTATTCTTATTCTGTATGGACATACTTCATTTGGAAGAACTGGTAGCTCTGTTGGCATTGAATGTGGAATAATTAATTTCTAATAGCAAAACAAATCTTGGTGTGTCCTACTCTTGCTTTTCTCCAAGCTAGAATGCTGCCTTGAGCTGTTTTCTGGTTCGTCATGGTTCTGAGTAGTGATGATTGACATAGGTGGGAGACTTGGGGAAGGGAGAGAATAGATTGTTGCAGTTGGTTTTATATAAAATTTGAGTGAGTTTTCAGTAACATCTTCATTAAAAAATCTGGAACAAAGCAATTTAATGTAGGTAGTGGGCTGTCAGTTACTGGAGAATCTTAAGCAAATTGACAGCTTTCATAAACAATTTCCAGTGATCTGATTTCTTTACACACAGATTTCTATCATACAATTATCAATATTTCTTTGGTATTAGTAACTGAAAGTATGGAGGAACTCCAGTCCTTGATCATGTGTGTACCTTTCATATATGCATGCGTAAATGCACATACATGCACATTTTCTTTGAACACGGCATGCAGCTCATTCTGATGTTTTACTCACTAGCTGGAGCGTAAATATTAATAGAAATTATCTTTGGTTTTCAAAAAGCAGCAGTTCTTTTCTTGATGTCATCTGCTGAGATAGAGACACCAGGACTGAAGTTGCTGGAAAACTTCATTCTAAATAAAGCCTGCACCATGTGGAGCGTCTGTCACTTGAGATACAATTGTTGGACAAATGCAGCCTTGCAAATGCATTTGGATTCTCTTCCCCTCCAGATAAAGCCTCTATTTTCCTTACATAAATAATCCTACATGTGTCACTGTCTTCTCCTTCTCTCATACTCGGGTGCGCAAACTTTCCTATACATGGACCGTAAATATATCAGTGTTGGATATTCAAGTGAATGCTGAAACAGTGACTTTATTGCCTATTTGTATATAAACCTTATTCAGTTACCGCTTCCAGTGTCATTCCTCCCTGTTTCTTCAACCCTTGGCCCAAATCCCTTAAGGGGTTCTTGCTTCTGTAGTTCTAGATATCCATCTCTGAAAGCTTTATCCGCTTATATCTATTGTATCTCCCTTTTCAAAAGACAGTCTAACCAGAATTCCCTGAAAATTCTCTTTGGCCTGCCTCCTTATGTAGAGATGGAAATAAATGAGTTCCTTTGGCAGTCAGTAGGTTTGTTCATGACCTTACAGTGAGAAGACATGCTTAGTGGTGTTGGCAGGGAAGGTATTTGGCAGCAGCTCTTCTTCTAAGCAGTAAACCCTGTGGTAGTTCTTGGAAAGATAAACTAGTAACAGCTTGCCTGTGATCTTCGTATAGGTAAATCTGTCAATTAGAGCAACAGATCTTTGGGGCCACTGCTGGTTCCATATATTCGCCATGCATTCATTGCACACAAGAAGTGTCATGAAGTTGTCTAAGCCTTTTTCAAGCAAGCTCTGCAAGACGGCATCTTAAAGCTTTCAAAGCCATTCTTAAAGGTTTTATAGATTACCGATTAGCAGAGTGGAGAACTTCACCCAAGGGAAAGTGGAAACGTTCTGAAGAATCCTGGAAGTAGGTAGTGTCAGAACTTGAGTTGTGTGTGTATGCACGTGTGCTCTGAAGGGTCTTCTGGTACTCACTAGACTTCTCTTAACTATCAGTCTTCTTCCCTCCATGTGGCTTTTGTTCAGACACCAATACCAGTCAATCCACGGGGATTTCTCAAATTCTTCATACCTGATCAAATGAGAGGAGTGTCTGTAAGTCCCTAAATAGCAAATCTAATAGCCTCAGTCACAGTTGTCTTAAGAGTGCTTTAATGTCTCTCTTTGAGGTATCAACCTGCTCAAAATATTTTGACTCTCCATGTGCTTACTTAAGATAGGTTTTCTTACTATATCTGTGGCTTTGGGTTTTTTCCCCTCACAGAGTCCACTGATAAACCAGTGTAAGAAAAGGAATCCTGAAAGATTGCTAGTGGGCCCTGCAAGGAAAAAAGAAAACCCAACAAACTCCCTTGTTTTAGCCTCCTCTCCACTATTAGGCTTTTTGATTTTGATAAGATATGATACAGTCCTGATGAATTTAAGGGTAATGGTTTGGATTTTAAAAAGTCAGATTAGCATTACTGAAAATGAAACTGGAATTCATGATGAATCAGAAAATCATGCAACTGTATCTGTCATCTTCCTCCGAGGTGGTGTTGAGGACTGACTTAAAATCACATTGTTTTCTCCCTCCTTCCTATTTAGCAAAAAGGCCACTAGATGTAGCAGTACTTCAGGGCACATTAACGCTCCACTTGTGCATCTGGATTTGAGTATTCCTCCGTGAGAAGAATGAATGTGAAGCAGAGGAAGTCCTGTAACTATCTGAAACTATTATAGGCAGTAAATCTTTTATCTAATCGCTTAAACTCGACTTACTTGCCTGTCAAGTGTTCTGTACCTAACCCGATCAAACGGCATGGTGCTGCAAATCAAAGTTCTTTCTTATGGATTGCTGCCCTTTGTACCTGTGCTCACTTGGTGCCTCCAAAAGGTCCAGGTCTGTATCTTACGTAGAGCACTTACCCTCTTCTTCATCTGTTAGAGCTTCTTGGTTCACGCTGTCCCATGCTTATTGACCTTTTTTCGGGTAAATACGAAACTCGCCCATTTACCCCTGTGCCCCAAATGTGTGGTACCTGAGAGAGCTTTGTCTCCTGAGGATCCAGTGATCACTAGTTAATTCTGTTGCATGCTGTTGATTGTGGAGGTAGGGATATTTGCAACCATACTGGTAAAACTGATGTTTATGTAGGTGGTAATCGTCATGCTGAATTTGCAAAGCATTCACCTCAGTATCTTCCTTATACATTTGACTAAAAACATTCCACGAATGTACCTCCAGTGTTTAAAAGAAGGCCATCCTTCTCTTCAAAGCTCATTTTGAGAAAATCAGGTAGTCAGTTAGTGTTATGTGATCTGATTCCTCTAGTTCTGTGGCAGACAACCACCTTTAAAAACCACCTTAGGATAAATCAGAGTATATTTGCTTTTTAAAAACACCTTAGGATAAACCTGCCATTATTTACTTATAACACTATCTCTCTGTAGGCCAGAAGTACTCTTTAAAATTGATTTGAAGGTCTCTTTTATACTTACTGTCATATATATATGCAGTGGATTGTATTGTAATGGATTATTGAATAGGATTATATATGACAAATTAAATCTGACCGTAGTCATTTTTCAGCCCGAGATATATGCAGTCTAAAAAGCCTCATTTACGAGAAAAATCGCAGGATGTCATTTTATGTATGTCTTCTTGTGAACAGTTCTTAACAAGAAAGACTTATTTAGCTCTTAGCACTTCATATTTTGTCAAATAGATGTGATTTTATTTCTTGTGGTTCAACTTAAAGGATTGGAACCTAAAATTAGATGGGGTTGGAAAACTTAAGCTTCTTG